TAAATCTGGTATAAGTATAATTAAATAGTGTGTAGTATGTGTGCGTGTGTGTGTGTGTGTATGTAAAATATAATAACAGTTCTTTGATAGTGTTTTGCATAGTCTAACAATTTCTATGTTTATATTTTTCAGTGTGCTTATTTACGTCAGTACATCGATGTAGATCAAACATTATCGAAAAACATTAGCAACAAATTAAAAATAATTATGTCAAGAGAGATTGCATTAAAATACACGGCAATTAAAGAGATAAACGGGAAAAAGTTTTCAAGAGAACTCGTCTGTATCAGTGTATTGAAGGTAAAATAACTATATTATTTAATTATTATCAGTAAGTAACTGAACTCATACCGTGTATGTGCATAATTTATTATTTCTATTTACAATTATTTCAGACATATATATCGGATTAAATATAAAGGGAGAATATATTAAAGAATCCCACATTTTGAAGACAATCAGCAATACTTTGTCGAATGCAAAAGACTGGGAGGGACACCGAAAGGATCGAATTAAAAACCAAACTCTAAACGCCTAATAACTGTCTTTTCAAGTTGTTAATTTTTTAAAATTATTCTTAAATTATTCCTTAATTGTATTTCTCATTTTATCATCCATATAGAATAAAAAGTTCACACAATAGTTGAAACAATTTTGTTCAATGTTTTAACATATTAATACTTTCATATAACTTCCATATTTAAATGTCCAGATTAACAGTGCTTAAAAAATTTATGTTAATATAATTTTGGATATAAAACATTGAGTTTCTATTGAATATCATTTTCTGTGAACATTTAGATCTTTTCCGAACATTGCAACGTCAAATTCTATACGGACATGTGTATGTAAAAATATTAAGAGAGAATTATCGAAAATTAAATATTTTATATTTTGTTATATATATTTTTAATGAAAATATTAAATTTTATTTTTAACATCTGGATGTCGATTATAAAAATAAGAACTGCGTGAGAACTAGCTATCGCCACATCATGGCTAGATAGTACAACATCAGAACTACCGTGCGCCACACCACGGCTAGATAGCACTACACTAGAGCTAGCTAACGCCTGACTAGTCGATTAAGTCGGGTATTAGACTGGAAGAATGTGATGATTTTGTGTCTGGCGCTAGTCTGCATGCCATACTAGCTCCTTATCAGGCAGTGGGGCAAGTAAGTTAGCGCCAGCCTAGCACCATGGTGATTTTTCTACCAGGGTAGTGTATTTTACAATTAATAATATAAGTCATTAATATATTCAATATTCTAATAAATATTTGTATATACCTGTTTCTGTCCCAATTCCAAAGCGATACAACGTGTAAATTGATCCAAAGCTGATTTACTCATGCAATAAGCTAGGATACCTAGAAAAAATCGCAATCCGGTTACACTAGAAACGTTGACGATATTGCCCTTTGTTTTGATTAGATGCGGCACTGCCAGTATAGTCAGATGATATACCGAATGAACATTTACATTAAAGATTCTGAAAATACATATTTTATCTATTAGCGTTTTCGATTATACAGGATTTGAACGACCCAGGGTTGGTTAATGACGTCATTGCAACCTCTCCACCAATGAAAGACTTGCATTTATAGTAAAATAGTGATTGATCAACCCTGGGTCGTTCAAATCCTGTATAA